AAACTTTAGCTGAAGCACTTGCTTAGAATCCAGTCACCAGTGTGTCAGCAGAGCGCAAATTCATCCACAATGTTTGAACATCCTCGGGTCTGTCTTGAGGCAAAAGTCCAGAACCAGAGACATTTGATTAAGCACAAGCTGCAAGTGACCAGCTTCCGAGCAGAAGGAATGCGCGTTGGGGCCACAACAGGTAAAATGTTCCTAATTTAATAGAAATTGTTTAATTGAATTGTTAATATGTTACTGGTGCACTCTGTTCAGCTTGTTTGGAATGAATATTAATTAAAAATGAATGGAAATTTAATGGTATTATTGAATGCTTACTATTATTTTAAAAACAAATGTGACAGGAAAAATGGATCATCCGTCCTTTGGCTCTGATCAAATGCTCCATCCTCAGAGTGCGTCCAAATGCAGTAGCAATGCATTTTATTTCCTACTCAAACTCATAAAAGAAAAAAACCTAGTAGCCTATGTTCAGAAAAAAACATTTTGTTTGAATAAAATACCTCAGTCGTGGGTACCACAGGGAATCCAAGACAAGGTTTCCTTTTAAGACTTTAGCCATGTTTATTATGGGTTGTTTATATGTCACTCTACCAAAAAACAAATACAAAATGGAACAAAAATAAAAGTCTAAATTACTCTTCCAGCAAATACAGCCACATTTAAACATCCATGAGTTTGTCTGATTCAAAGGTCCAGAACCTCATAACCTCTTCAGCAAGCTCCCTAGAGACATGTTATCCATAAAAATAATCCATGGTTTTCTTCTTCTGTGTTCTCAAATCAGTCCTTGGTGTCCATGTGCGCTCTTGGCACCAGGATACCTGGGGCCACAGCTCGATGATCGACTGTTGTCGTTTCATTTGATCTGCAGGTGAAGAGAGGGGCGGAGCTGTCAACTAACCACTAACTGGTGGTGGATTGGCTTTGATCGTGAGGGAGGAAGCCGGTCAGACCTAGCAGGTCCCAAAGTATTTTGAGGGTTTGCAGGGAACATTTGGCAGAGTCTCTTATCAAAAGGAGCTTAATTTCTCACTTCCGACAGAATTTTGACACGTCCCGAGGGAAGCGGGGAACATTGAGGACGAGTGGGCCATGTTCTGTGCTTCCACTGTTGAGACGGCTGACCGGAGCTGCGGTCGCACGGTTGTCGGTGCCTGTCCTGGTGGCAAACCCCAAACCTGCTGGTGAACACTGGCGGTAAAGAATGCTGTAAAGCTGAAGAAAGAGTCCTATCAGGTCATTTGGCCTGTGGAACTCCAGAGGCAGCTGATGAGTACCAGCAATCCAAGATTAATGCAGCTTGGGTTGTCGTGGTGGCAAAAACCCGGGTATGGGAGGAGTTTGGGGAGACCAGCAATCGGTGTGACTCAGGTGCGATGTTAGGCCCGGCTACTTGGGCTCAAGCCCCGAATGTTTTATGAAAAGCCTCGGATCTCAAACGTGGAAGTAACATGCAGTACCAAAGTCCAACAGAGAGGGAGCAGCTAGCAGTAGTTTGTATACAGCCTGCCTGAGCCTCCACCACTGAAGAAGAAGCCCTTCAGCAGCCGGCTTCTTCTACACTCTCTGCCTGAAACGCATGAGTGAAGATGGACATAAGGACGTTTTTTAGACCAAAAGTACGGCGACAGAACCCCAGCTTTGATGAGACTGGTGCTGACTCAGGTTTGTGAGTCTTATTAGAAAATATTTGTTGTGCTGCTGGTTTGCCTAAAGTTAGCTTATCAGGTAAAGTTGTTGGAGAAAGAACGGGAATATTTACTATCATCTCACACTAAACACTAACAGGAACAATACTCTGCCCAGAATATGCTTCATATGTAGCTTCAGATTAAAAATTATGTGGTACAAGACAAATATATATGATGTTGACTAGTGCGTGTCGCGTGTGTGTGTGTGTGTGTGTGTGTGTGTGTGTGTGTGTGTGTGCGCGTGTGTGCGTGTGTGTGTGTTCACCAGCTTACCTTGAACAGTCACAGAGAAGGCATGTGAGGCATTCCCGTGGATGTTGAAGGCTACACATCTGTACTCCCCATCATCATCATCTGTGATGTGATTGATTTGAAGCCAGCGATTGTATTTCTTTAGTGTGACTTTTGACTTCTTCAGATTTCCATTTATTTTGTGCCACTCTACCTGAGGAGTGGGCCTGTAAGTAGAACATATAAGGATCAGTAGGACTCCAGTGATGAGAGGGTGAAGCTAACAAATGAGAGCAAAATGAAGGAAATTAAAAGTGAATAAACATCAAATGTTTGAGAGTGATTTAAATTTTATTCCATTTCATTTGTCATTCTTGACTAAGATGGGTATTTCAGGGGAATGAGGATAATATTCGTCAATGTAAAGGTCAGGTAATATAAAAAAGGAGTTAGCATTGACTTCTGAAGAACCATATATTTCTAGAGCTTCAACCAAAAATAGAAAAACAGGAAAAGTGGAATTGAAAACTAGGTGAAATGTCTTCAGTGTGAAACCTTTGACAGTTTAAGGGCTTGTAAAGAACTAATTGTTGTATCCTGGTTCTTGTCATTTTAAAAGTTGTTTTAATAAACATTGAGACCGTTTTATGTTTATTTATTTACCAGACGCTTTTATCCAAAGCGACATACAGTTTATAATCTATAGGGCATGTTGTGATCTGTGGGGGAAACCGGAGAACCCGGAGGAAACCCACGCATGCATGGGGAGAACACGCAACTCCACGCAGGAAGGCCGCAGCCGAGTTTCGAACCTGCAACCTTCGTGCTGCGAGGCAACAGTGCTAACCACTGCGCCACCATGCAGCCCTCACCCTTGCAGTTTTCTCAGCATGGAGAAACTTCTTTGTTGTACTTTCAGGCTGAACCCTAATGTTCCATAGAAGAGACTGAATATTTGGACAATAGATCTATGGCATGTTGTGGAATTTCTTTTATAGACTTAATAAAAGAATGCGAAAGCAGTCCATGATTCAGTCAAAAGGGTTTATTTTTAATATTATTGTAATATCAAAATGAGGAGACAGTTACAAGCCACCATGCCGGCAAATCAGCGTAATATTACAGCAATGGTATGTCTATAAACGCGCCATGCCGGCATGGCCTTGCGCAAATTTGACGGCATTCGTTCCAGCTTGCTTGGTCGTATGCGCCCTGGCGCAACAGAGGCAGATGTCATGATGACGTGGGGAGTTATCGCTGAGCTCCGATGGCAAATTTATTGAAAATGAAAGTAAACACGGGCAATAAGGTTTGCTTTTTGAACAAAATCAGCCGAGATGGCAGACTGGAGTGCCGCAGCGCTCCATGAGCCTCTCTGTTAGAGCTGAAGTTCAGATCACCAGACTGCACAGGGACTGATGGGGACAGACACCTTTAGGAACTGCTTGTTAAAAAAAACTTAATAACGGCTTCAATCGCAATAAAAAGCAAGTTATGTCCAAGATAAACGGAAGTCTTCAGCAGCGCAGAGACTGCCCCCATACCCCCTTTACGCCGCCATCACCTAATCTTTTATAAAATTGCCACAATTGCACCACATTACCGCCACGGTCTGATCTTATAAACAATTTTTATCCTCCCCAGGAAGCCGCGGCAAATCCCGTTTTGCAAACGCTCTGGTCCTGTAAAAACATCTACAGAGGCTCTTCCCAAAGCAGCCTCTGGAGTGAGTCCTCCCCAGCAGAGGCCCCACACTCTATATATCCCTCTTGAACCCCCTTCCCTGCTTGGAAAGATTCAGTGTTTGAAAAACATGTCAGCCTCTTCCCGTAACTTGTTAAAAAAAAAACAAGAAAAAAAATTCCTGACAGCTGCAGAGTCTGAGTCACGGACATTTTTCAGAGATTGTCCCTGATCTCTGCTGCTGCCCAGTGGCACCAGAAACTTAACAAAAGTGGAGGTAAGCCATAATTTTAACATTTATGTTGCATTTCTGCAGCGCTGAAAGCACCAGACAGAATAATTTATAGTTTACGAAAGTAGTCAGACAAGTGAGAGACACCTGCTACAGCTGGGAAGATGCACCGTGTCCTCACTACTCTGTGAACAATCGCCAACAACGGGTCTTACAGTGGAAGAAACAATCTAAAATATTTCTGATAATTTTCTAAAAGTTAGTAAATTCAAGTTCTAGATCATATTTGTGCCTGTTTTACTGTCATGTTTAAGGATTTTTATTCATTTATAAATAAGTTTTTACTACATTATGAGTAGAAATGCAAATAAAAACACCCAATTATACAAACAAGTGCAACTGGAAAAATTAGAATCTGGTGCAAAGTCCATTTATTTCAGTAATTCAACTAGACTGAGAGACAATATAAAGGCTCAGGAACCCTTTGCAGGTGTTTTCTATTTGCAGTTATACATTTTAGTTGATTTAGGTCTTGTTTCATATCACACAGTGACATTTGAATAATTAAAATGCATCTTTGGTGTGTTCTTACTGTGTCTAGTTTCTAATTCCATTTTTAGTTCTTTTTTATAACACATTAAAGGTTTTTTTTATCTTGCTGACAGTTTTGTTTGCCGACTGCAAAACTTCCTCAGAGCTGATGCTGATGGTGGCGTCATTTCTTGTCACCTCTTCTGGTTGTGCAGCGCTTTCTGCCACACTTGTTCCTTCCCACAAACTTCCCACTGAGGTGCCTTGATGCAGCACTCTGGGAACAGCCGATTCGTTCAGAAATGTCTTTCTGTGTCTTACCCTCTTGCTTGAGGGTGTCAGTGATGGCCTTCTGGACAGCAGTCAGGTCGGCAGTCTGACCCGTGATTGCGGTTTTGAGTAATGAACCAGGCTGGGAGTTTTTAAAAGCCTCAGGAACCTTTTGCAGGTGTTTATTAGTTGATTCGGATGATTAGGTTAATTAGGTTTGAAGCGCCTCGTTATTTTTATCTTGAGAGGCGCTATAGAAATGATATTTTCTTCTTCTTAATAGCTCGTTTAGATAACCTTTTCATGATATGCTAATTTTTCGAGATAGGAATTTTAGGTTTTCATGAGCTGTACGCCAAAATCATCGATATTAGAAACAATAAAAGGCTTGAACTACTTCAGTTGTGTGTAATGAATCTAATATATATGAAAGTCTAATGTTTATCAGTACATTACAGACAATAATGTACTTTATAACAATATGCTAATTTTTTGAGAAGGGCCTGTATTTTCATTAAATACTTGATTACTTTTACTATAGTAACTTTTTAGCAAGACTACTTTGACTCTATTTGACTTGATTATGGTTTTTGTCTACCTCTGGTTAAATATGAGATTGCATATTTGTTTGATTAAATGTATAACTGGTGTTATGGCCACCAGCCTGGCCTCTTCAGGTGGAGGAGCCAGGATCACCCAGCCCCAGTGAGGAGCCAGACACCGCCCCTCCTCCTCCTCTCTTCCAGGCTGCTGAGGAGCACAGCTGAGATGAATCCGTCTGACGACCCACACCTGTGCCTTCAGCTGTCTGGAAGGCAGCAGTGCCAGGGTTCTGCTGTCCTCCAGGCCTCAGATTTTGGTAGAAACTCTTTCAAATTGATGAGTTTTAACTTCAAAAATTTTAACTCTGAGTTGATGAGTTTTAATGGGTAAAACTCTGAGTGATCCATAGGGGTCCTTGGCTGATGTCAACTTGGTTGACTCAGTTTTAAGGTTAACTCTGTTCTGGTTTTAAGACTTTTATCAACTTTGTGGATTTTAAAACTCCAGTTTCAGTAAAACTTTTAAGTTTTAACCAAGTGTGTTAATGGTGTATACGTTGTCTTTAAAATGTTAACCTTTTTGAGAATCTTTTTGTTTGGCATTATTTAATAATGCTCATCTGTTTGCACATGTCTTTAGAACCTTAACCTTTAGAACCTAAACCCAGTTTATCTATTTAAACCCACTATCCTATTTCTTATATTACCCCCTCCTTCACATTTTAACACCTCCTGTTGGGGACGTAGCATATGTCTATTGCTTAACTGTACTTTGTATCTGTTCTCAGGAAAATATGCTAATCTGCACCATGCATCTCAAAAACAACATGGAAGTCGCTAAAGCCCATTGGATCCACAACCTGTCCCTGTTCAGTGGACACCATCAGATTGTTAACCATGTTGAAAGCCATCCACTATCAAGTGTTGATTAAAAAGACGCTTTAAGTCAACCACTGCAAGTATCAAGAGTTTTTAACATCCATGTTTATTTTGTACGTTTTGAAAGCTTCAAGCTGTGTTAGAAATATTAGTGTGTGTTTAATACTCATACCTGCAAACGTGCTGCTTTTAAGTGAAATTTGCCATTTTTGAAGCCAAATATAGCACTCATGGAGACGGTGTGCCAAAAACTGCAGACGCTGTACAAGCGCTGCTACTATTGCTCCAACGCCTAATCTTTTTAGAGTTTAAAGTTTGTCAAATCAGTCAACAGTTTTCTGGTTATTAAACTGTCTAATCATTGTTAATATCCTTTTATTTATAGAAATAAATAAAAAAAATCTATTGGAAATGGTAAACCAGTCTACATTGTTACAGTTTTTTACCTAATTTGTTAGACCTCTTAGAGAATTTCTGGCTTTAACAACTGCCAGTCATTTTATGTAAATTTTAAATAAAGCATTTGTGTTGTATGATGCAGCTGTGGTGTTCTCACTTAGACAGTAGCTAATGGTGGAAAATGTTTACAACAGGTTTCTGCTATAGATTTGTTTTTGAGGTAGTTATTGTACAGTAACAACAGTTCTTGAGAATTTTTGTTCAACATAGCATATACTATTGCAACATTTACATTTTTTTATTTTTACAGTGAATAACTGGCAACCATAGCTGCCAATTTTAATTAAAATGGACTGTATAAAAACAATATGGCATTTAATAAAATATGTACATATTACAGGAAATAACTGGCAGCTATGGTTGCCAGAATTTTACCGTAATAACATTTTCAATTACTTACCGTATTATGTTATACAGTTTAAATAAATTTAACAGTGACAGACTGTACTCAGTTTAACAGAATGTTTGTTATTTCTACATAAATCACAGTGAACAGAGTAACATCCAGAAATGGTCAATTTTCACCTACAGATTGACCTACACGCCATGCACTGGTCATCTGCAGACCTGATTCTATTCTCCAAGGTGGATTTTACACTATCTTCCTACAAGCCCAGAAGATACTTCAACC